TTTTTCTCATTGTTATGGATGGACTCCTGAATCTCACTCATTTTCCGGTCAATAGAATGGATATCAGTTTTAAGTTCTACATGGTTATTGGTCATTTTTTTCTTGTAACAGGAGCATAGTTTCTTGAATTGTTGATAGGGTCACCTGCATTGCTTGAATGGTTGGTAACATTGCTGATTTGTCCGCTTTTGTTAGTACCTCAGTGGATTTTTGCAGAGCTGGAGAGGACATTGTTAATGCAGGGTTGGATGACATTTTCTTTCCAGCCTTAAATACTGCCGATGAAATGCTTGTCATCTCCTTTAAGATTCTCTTCTGGTTTGTCAAAATTACCTCGATATTCTTCCAAATTATCATCCACTATTCTCTCTCTAATAGCAAGATTCACCTAATTCATCCAATCATAAATTTACCCAGTTTTCATATCAACTCACAACAGTTCATTCAGCTATTGTTAATCAAAGTTATATATAAATATAAGCTAGATGCAATTATCTAAACAAGACCAATATACAATAATAACTACTCAATCCAGTTATAGTCAAAGTTATGTTAGGTTAAATATAGGTTAGATATAATTGTCTAATCCAGACCAATATATGGTAATAAATACTCAATCTCTACAATATTCACTTTTCAGTATTCATCCAATCATACTATTGCACACTTATTAAGTTCATTAAATATAGTCTATAATTTATTCTTATATAAATCTAAGTTAAATGTAGATATAGGTATCAATTTAATAGAGATAAGAGGTTAACAGTTTAAGAAAAAGGTTATACAGTAACCATGGATTAAGATCTATTAGGCTTTTACAAGGTAGTATATAGTTCACTCAAAAAGAAGTAAGAGAAGTTATCTAAAATAGTTAATATCTATATAAATAGAGGGGTAATTATAGAATGGTTAATAGGTTAATAGGATAGTATTAGTAATTGATAGAGAATTCTGTAAATAATGTTTTTAAAAATTCATTACTCTTATTTGTTTAATTAACTACTACCACAGTCGAGGGAATTCTTCCACGTAGAGAGATATTTCAGTTAATTAAGGGAAAATCTCAAGTAAATCCAAAGGGCAGCTAAGTCTTAATAAGCAGGAATACAGTTCGAAGAGAAGACCGCATCTCAGAACGTTACAAAACCTTCCTGTTGTCAAACTTCAAATACACATTGTGATTTATGGCTGCGCTTCCGGTTTCTCCCTTCAGAGACAGCCGGGTAGCTAAGAGTTGACAACTAAAAGTTATTGTTTTGATGATTCCTCGCAATGTTATACACAAAATCTAGGTCTGAACTGATTTATCCACATTCACTACAGATTTAAGAAGATATGCCAACAGCTTCTAATTTCACCTTCCCCTGCTTCAGCAAGTTCTCCTTCCTCCTCGCAGATTCGCCAGCGATCCACAGGCTTCCAATCTGCTCTGTCACCTATACTCGCTGCCTTTCCACCACCGTGAGCACTTTCAGCTGGCTACACTCGCAATTTCTTGAGATCTGCTCCCACGAACACCAGGGATTTGTGATTGGGTCTCCTTCTCACATTAGCTATCCCGAACTCCTCGCTTCCTCGTTGTTGTTGGTAGTCGCGGCTTTGGGTCTGCCATTAAACAGCAGACGCGCCCATGCCGGTTTGACAGAGGTCTCTGTCCAAGCGAGAGGTGCTTGCACATCGCTCTCCCACTCTTCAGATCCCCTCTCTAGTCCGAGACGCTCTCCAGGCAATCTCGCCCCTCAGGGTCCCCAGGACATGGCGAAAAAGACAGTGCCGTGGAGCAGAGCTCACTCACACAGCACCCTGTCACCACGATTCCCAACCGGAAGTTCCTGCCCTGTCAATCATGTCCTGGGCAACGCTTAAATCACTTCTACCGAAGTTCCAGAGAAACAGCTGTCACGGCAACGAGTTCGCCTCCTTGACTACCAAGGAAATCAAGTTCCTGTGGAAGGCGTGGGCATGTTTCAGGTCACCTACAGCGAGTTCCAGAAAGAGCTTCCCCTGACCATTGTAAGCAAGTCACTACCAAGTCTCCTGGGCCTAGCCTGGTTTCGAGCCCTCGGCATGGGCTTCACGGGTGTCCACAGCCTCGGCGGACCATCTTTAAAGGAAAGCCTCCTGCACAAGTTCCAGGACATTTTTGAAGAGATGCTAGGCAAGTACGTGGGGACCCCTATTTCTTTTAATTTAGACCCTAATGTAGCCCAGATTAGGTTAAAGGCAAGACGAGTACCATTTGCCCTAAAACCAAAAATAGACGCAGAACTTGACAAACTGATCAAACAAGGGGTGCTACTTCCTGTAGATCACGCTAAGTGGGAAACCCCAATAGTCATGCCAGTAAAGTCAGATGGATCAATCAGAATCTGCGCTGATTATAAATGCATGATCAATAAGGCGTTGCAGCAGAGCGTCTATCTAGTTCCGATCGTCCACCATCTACTTCACTCCCTGGGCCCTGGCAAGATATTCGCTAAGTTAGACCTTGCGCAGGCGTACCAGCAGCTGCCGGTAGATGACACTACGGCAGAATCACAAACTATAGCAACGCACAGAGGTGCGTTCAAGTGCACTAGACTGCAGTTTGAGGTTAACATTGCACCAGGGCTTTTCCAAAGCACTATGGAGTGCCTACTACAAGGACTCCCGGGGTTCACCCCACAGAAAGCAAAGTAAGGGCCATCCAAAATGCACCCACACCAAAGTCGAAGGCCGAACTGCAGGCCTTCCTGGGACTTCTAAACTTTTACACTATGTTTCTCAAAGACAAAGCTACCATTGCGGAACCATTACATAGACTGCTAGGAAAAAATGTTCCTTGGGTTTGGGGCAAGACTGAAGTGGCTGCGTTTAAGGCTGTTAAAAAACTTTTGTCTGAAGACAGTTTTCTTATCCAATACAATTTGGAATTGCCGCTTGTACTTGTCTGCGATGCGTCCCCTTTTGGAGTGGGTGCTGTGTTGAGCCATAGACTACCGAATGGGTTAGAGGCACCCATTGCCTATTACTCTCGTACCCTGTCCAGCGCAGAATGAAATTACAGCCAGCTGGACAGGGAAGCCTTAGCGGCTGTGGCGGGGGTCAAAAAATTTCATGAATATTTGTTTGGCCAGACTTTTGAACTTATAACAGACCATCAGCCATTGTTGGGACTTTTGGCTGGAAACAAACCTACCCCAGCCGCCCTCTCCCCCCGGATGACCAGGTGGTCTATTTTCCTGGCCGCTTACTCGTATAGATTAATCCACCAACCGGGCCAGACTCTGGGCCATGCTGACACCCTCAGCCGATGCCCCTTGCCCAATCTGTTGGAAAATCCAACTCCGGAAGCCCCTGTATTGTTAATCGATGTTGTGTCCCTGGGCCCCCTCTCGTCTGGCGAGGTGGCAAGGGCATCTGCCAAAGACACTGTTTTACGAACTGTTATGGGCTGGGTCATGAGGGGTTGGCCAACTAAGGTGGACAGTGGGGATTTTCAAGTGTTCTTTAACAAAAAGAATGAGTTGTCTATGTTGGGGGGCTGTTTATTGTGGGGCGATAGGGTGGTTATCCCCTCCCGGTTAAGGCATCGGGTGTTGGAATTGCTACATGAGGGGCACCCTAGTATTGGCAGAATGAAGAGTCTGGCTCGGAGTTATGTGTGGTGGCCACAACTTGACTGAGACGTCACAGAGTGGGTGGGAAAGTGCAGGCCTTGCCAGGAATCCCACCCCAATCCTCCTGTAGCTCCCATTAGGGAATGGGAAAAACCTAAAGGCCCATGGGGGAGGATTCATATAGATTTTCCAGGGCCTTTCCACGGCCAGAATTTTCTAATAATTGTCGACGCCTTTTCCAAATGGTTGGAAATAGCCCTAATGCCATCAACCACTTCCGAGGTGGTAATCAATGTCCTCAGAAAGCTATTTGCTACCCACAGGTTGCCAGACACCCTGGTATCAGATAACGGGCCCCAATTCACGGCAACTCAGTTTGAAGGCTACCTGGCCGAGTTAGGAATAAGACATGCATTATCTGCTCCGTTCCATCAGGCTTCTAATGGCCTTGCAGAGAGATTCATGCGAACGACCAAAGAAGCTCTGTCCCGACTCGATGCAGAGGACTGGCAGGCTAGGATTGATCAATTCTTAGCAATATAGCATGCAACCCCGTGCACTGCCATGGGGCGCAGCCCAGCCGAGCTTTTAATGGGCTGTAAACTCAGGTGCACTCTTGATCACTTACATCTGAACTATTCCACAGATAATTTTAAGGGGGAAGAGGGAGGATTAAGACAATTACAAATCGGGACCCCGGTATTTGCAAGAAATTATGCTAGCAGTCCGCTGTGGATAGAGGGAATTATTGTTGGAATCACTGGCCCAAAATCATACACAGTGGACGTAGGGCAAGGAAAAATTTGGAGAAGGCACATAGATCAATTGCGTAAACTTTTGAATTGTGAAGCCTGTAAAAGTCCAGATATTGTTAACCCTAACTTCCAAAGTTTCCCTGAAACAGCTATCTCAAGCCCGAGTAAACCGGATTACTTATCAGGTAAGCCTGAGTTCCAGTGCCGCCCCAACGAATCGACACTCCCAGCCGGGGATGGCCACGTCTCTGGAGAAATCCAGGAGGTTCCATTGGTGGAGGCAGGAGAGACGGGAGGTCCCTCTGATCGGCTCGACGCCTCGCCTGCAACTGAACTGCGCAGGTCTACCAGAGTGAAATCACGCCCTGGTCAACTGCATGATTTTGTATGTAAATATGTAAATAGATAGGATAAGTGCCTTCTGGGAATGGAGGGGTATTATGTATGTATCTATTTTGTGCAGGAAATTCAAATGCTGGAATACTTGTGATTGGTTAACGGGTATTTCAGAACTGTATATAAGGACGGTTGTTGCCTGTGTTTCTTTGCTGAAGTCTCACCCTGAATTAAAGAGCTGTTGTCACTAGCTTGCTTGTGCCTCTCGTTATTCCCACGCTACAACAGTTGGCTTTGTTTTTATTACCAGAAATTACTTCGAAGAGGGAAGAAAACATGCATTCAGCATTGAGTTTATCTTTCATATTACTTGCCATTTCATCCAATTTTGCAGTAGCAATCAGAAAGGAAAAGCAAATACCCCAGACCCTCTCCAGAGGTATGATGATTTCATTCTGTTTCTAAACTTCCAAAAATTATAAAATAAATTTAAACTCATTTTTCTAAAAATTGTTTTGTAAATAATATTGGGTAAAATGCAGTGCTATGCATTTTTAATTTTAATTTTAATTTAATTTTAATTTTTTTTAAAGTACTGATATAATTCTACCTCTTTTTGTACACATGGGTGTATTTTAGTGCACATGCCCTTAAAGAAATGAACTATGAATCTAAGGTACAGTAATTTACATTTGTTTTAATATACAAAATCTGTGGTAAGTAAAGAAATTATTTAACACATTTCAACATGTTTTATAAAATATATTGAGGGTAATTAAATAGATAACAACTCCATATAAACAGTGAATCTGTTATTCTTCTAGGATGGGGAGATGATATCACTTGGGTACAAACATATGAAGAAGGCCTCTATCAGGCAAAACAAAGGTAAAAATAATTTTAAACCTTTCAGGAAAAAAAATTGTTTTTTAATTTAATTTAACGAAGCACTTGCTGTAGCTTGTAAGTAAGTTTTAGTTTATTACTTACAGATGTTGTATTATTCATTGTATTTATCTCATATGATAGGGAAAGCATATTTCCTAATACTTATTTTCTTTTTGAAAAAGTAATAAGCCATTGATGGTTATTCACCATTTGGAGGATTGTCAATATTGTCAAGGTAAGTCAAACCAATTTGATTTAAAGTGAAGATCTGGGGAATGCATTTACATACATATATCACTCAACTGTATTCTTCTATTGTAGTATATTTAAGACTCTGAAATCTCAGTCTGTAAGTCACCTTGCTCTATGATAAAAGAAAAATAGTTTGAAGAAACTGCAAGTTTCTGATTAAAATCTTATTTTTGAAAATTGAATATTTTAGAATATTTCAGATATTACTGCTAAAAGAGAAAATGCAAGTGAAGATTTTGCTATAGACTGGTGCTTTATTTTGCAGTATGCCAGCTTTATATCTATTTATTTCTTATTAAAATAATATGTTTAAAAACTCAGTTGGGACAGTGAACGTGGTAGGCATCAGGGGATATAGCAAACATATTATTAATTACTATCAGCACCATTTTACCAATCACTGAATTAAAAGAAATAATGTCACAAAATATGTCTTTCAGATATACATTGGTATAAGTAGTTCTCATTTTCAAAATTAAATTATTTTAAGCAGAATCATTTTACATTTATGAATAAATAATACTTATTACACATAATCCTGGTCAATGTAAATAAAGATACATCAGCCCAAGTAATTAGTAAAGCAAAATCTATGAAATGCCTCTTCTAATACATATTTACCTTGTACTACCAAAGCTAAAGAATGTGCATGGTAGATTATATTAACAAATATGAAATTATCTTAAATACTGACAAAATACATTCTATATGATTCTGTTTTTCTCATGTAACCAAAGACAGGGAGGTATACAGTGGCATAACATTCATCTCTGAAGAATTCGCTGAGAATAATGCCCCTTTGTCAATCTCTATTTCAATGTCAATATAAAAAGAAATCCTTCAAGGGGACAGATTTAATTAAACTGTAGGTAGTCTCTCTCATCTTGTCATTGATACTAAGCAATATGATTATTCCTTGTAAAGAAGATACCTATGGGTTTCTCCTTTGAGTCTCAAAGTCCTTGCAACAACAGTCTCTCACTTGAACAACTCCCAGTTCAATGGACTGCAAAGCATTGATGTAACATGCCAATATCAGTATAGAAAATATCATCTCTAACAAAATTAAAAAGTTTTTTAAAACCTTGCATCTTTTTTTTCTTTAAGATAACAATTGTGTTTCATTTTTTGCAGCATTAAAGAAGGTCTTTGCAGAAAGTCAAGAAATACAGGAGATGTGTCAGAATGATTTCATCATGCTCAACCTCATGGTACAAAATTTAGATATACCATGTTTCCCAAAAAATAAGACCCTGTCTTATATTTCGGAATAAGCACTTGGCCTTATTTTTGGGGAGGTCTTATTATTTTGGGGTACATGGAGGAAACCAGAGGAAATGGCGGGGACTGGCTGCGCATGTGTTTAAATATTTTTGGGGAGGTCTTATTTTCAGGGAGCCGTTTATTTTAGGGCATGCACTCAAAAGCCCAATTGGATTTATTATCAGGGGATGTCTTATTTTCAGGAAAACAGGGTAGATATAAATTAATATTTGAAAGTAATGAGGTAAATATATGGGTGGTCTTTAGTGGTTTTTTAAGACAATTTAATAACTATGCCAATTTAAATATTTTCTTTTGGTAGCATGAAACAACTGATAAGAACTTATCACCTGATGGACAGTATGTACCTCGAATCATGTTTGTAGGTATGTATCAGACGTAATCATAACTATAGCCATAACCTGGTGCTTCGCCTCTATAAAATGCAGCTTTTATTGGTTACTGGGGCCAAAAAATGTTTCTTTTCTGAAAAATGCTACTTGCCTCTCCACAGCAGCTGAACTACAAAATGGCATTTCAGTCTACTAATATTTCTTTATAAGGATAATAGAGAGTTGAAAGAAATCAGTCCATTCTATGGAAGAGTGTATGTAGAATCATGGAATAATGAACGGATATTCCCGTTCAGCTTTCCCTGACTTGATGCCGTTCAAATGTGCTAGGACTGTAGCTCTCAGAATATTAAGCCTGGGTGGTCTGTTGGTTTGCACTTCTGAAATTTTATTTTTGAGTAGCATTCCAAGTGCTACTTGGAATGCTATTTTTGAATAGCATTCCAAGTGACATTAAATCCATTATTGATCAAAGCCTTAGTCTTCCCCAGATAATGAACATTTCCAGCCTGCTTTATTTCAGTCTTGTATAAGTTTCCATAGGAATGAAGGAATTATCATTGTCACTTGATAGTGCACTGATTAGCCAGTACAGTGGCTGATTCATTTACATTCTTCATTTGAAATGCATGAATATCATTAAATTAGTGAAAAGCATCTCCTTGAAATCTGATAGTGCTATGTATTAATATGACTTAAGAGTAAAATTGAAATAAATTTTATTGCTTTTCCAGATCCTTCTCTCACAGTAAGGGCTGATATCATTGGAAGATACACAAATCGATTGTATACTTATGAACCTCAAGACCTATCTGTGTGTAAGTTTTTCCTCAATGGGTTGCATTCATAATACAAATATTTACAGGACTGTTTCCCCCAAAGTATACTAATTGCATGGAGGATAAATTAAGTAGATAAATTAAGTAGCACTGCTAGACTTGCTAAGATACATATAAAAAGTTTAATTCAATATCACATCAGGATAATGAAAAAGCCATATAAGCTAGATATTTTGGATTTCATTTCCATCAGTCCCCAAAAAACAGAGACTGGGAATGTGGCAGAGCCAGCACAGTGCTTTTATCGGGTGTTATTGTTAGATACAATTCCTTTGGTTTTGAAGGTTGTTATTTATTAATGATGTTTTTATGTATTATCTTTTTTCTTGTTTTTAAATTGTTACATTATTCTTTTTTCTTGTTTTTGTATTTGTTTTAATTGTTTGCAAGCTGTCCAGAATCATATATGTGGGAAGGGTGTCTATATACTCTATGCATAAGAAGACACAAAGATGGTACATGCTACCATCAGAAGGTACTAGCACCATGCAAAGTAGTAGTGTTCGAGAATACAATTTCTTGCTTTTAAAATTAAGGACAGACTTGGTCAGATCTCCCATTCTCTGCAGTAACGTTTGTGCAGTTTGTGGAAACAGATAAAAGTGGAGCCAAAACAAATTGGCTCCGTTGAGTGCAAGGAGGGTTTTTTTACATGTATTTGTACTTGATTGGATTGGGCTCATAGATTTTTGGGATTTATTTTTTTTTTTGCTTTACCTCTGCAAAGAAAATACAGCTGGTATCCAACAGTCATAAAAACTAAGCAGGAAAAGATAACTAAAACTGGTTAGAAGGCAAGATTTCAATTAGTCACTCATAAGATTCTTACATCAGCAAAAACCAATAAAAAGTAGATTAGACAGAAAGCATCCATATGTTTTACAATCACCTGCTCACTTGTTTTGTTGCTATAACACAAATTTAAGAAGGACTAATACTTATTTACTTCAATTTGTACTCTATTGGGTATTTCTTTGTAACATTTAATATCTTTCTTTGCATATTTTCAAAGTTTAAAAATTAAAATTAACCAACATGTATTACCACTCATTTCAACTTAAAGAACTATTAGCAATAATTTCTTCTGATTGGACTGATCATTTTGCTTACGCATGATGTTTCTGAATAGTTATAGGAATATCAAAATGTGGCAGTGGTGGGATTCAATTTTTTTAACAACCGGTTCTGTGGGCGTGGCTTAGTTGGGGGTGTGGCTTGGTGGTCATGTGACTGGGTGGGTGTGGCTAGCTGGTCATGTGACCGGGTAGGCGTGGCTAGCTGGTCGTGTGACCGGTGGGCGTGGCTATCTGCATAGGGACTACAGAGGGCTGAAAAAAGTCATTTCTTACTGGTCCTCGCACTTTGACTGGTCCTCGCACTTATGACCATCCTCACATTTATGCCCGTTGCGGCATTCTTAACAACCATGTCACTCATTTCACAACTGCTTCTCTTCATTATGGTGACAAGATAGGGCAAAAACGTAAAATGTGAGGACAGTCGTAAGTTCAAGGACTGGTCAAAAGTGTGAGGACCAGTCAAAAATAACTTTTTCAGCCCTCTGAGTAGTCCATATGCACAAAAGGACTACCCAGAGGGCTGAAAAAAGTCATTTCTGACTGGTCCTCGCACTTTTGACCGGTCTTCGCACTTATGACTGGTCATCATTTATGCCCATTGTAGCATTCTTAATAACCGTATCACTCATTTCACAACTGCTTCTCTTCACCATGGTGACAAGATAGGGCAAAAACGTAAAATGTGAGGACAGTCGTAAGTTCGAGTACTGGTCAAAAGTGTGAGGACCAGTCAAAAATAACTTTTTCAGCCCTCTGAGTAGTCCATATGCACAAAAGGACTACCCAGAGGGCTGAAAAAAGTCATTTCTGACAGATCCTCGCACTTTTGACCGGTCTTCGCACTTATGACTGGTTATCATTTATACCCATTGTAGCATTCTTAATAACCGTATCACTCATTTCACAACTGCTTCTCTTCACCATGGTGACAAGATAGGGCAAAAACGTAAAATGTGAGGACAGTCATAAGTTCGAGGAATGGTCAAAAGTGCGAGGACCAGTCAGAAATAATTTTTTCAGCCCTCTGAGTAGTCCATATGCATAAAAGGATACAGCAATAGAGAGGGATGAAGGAAGGGAAGGGAAATTAGAGTAGGAGTGAGGGTAAGAGAGGGAGGAAGAGAGGAGGAGAAGGAGAAAGGAAGACGAAGTAGGGAGGAGAAGAAGAAGGGGAGGAAGAGAAAGTAAGAAGGAAAGAAAAGAGAGAGGTGGTAGGTTTGAGGAGAAAGATTGCTGTACAATAAAAAAGATGAAAGGGAAGAAAGCCAACTCCAAACAAATATAAAGATATTAAGATAAAGAATGAATTGTTAAACTTTAAAGAATAAAAGAGAACAAATATGAATAAATAACAATAATTAGAAACACACATACAAACATACAATGTATTTTCTTTGAACAGAGTATTTGGCCGGTTCACAAATTTAAACAGTGTTTAGTCATTTCAATTAAATTTACAATTTCTATATTTCCTTTTTGCCATATTTATTCCTCATCTATTTTTGTAAAAAACCAATATTACCCTTCATCCTCATCTCTAATCTTAATCAAATTCAATTTTTCCCTTCTATTCTATATTATACCCCTTCCCATTGTCATCTATTTTTATATCCATCCTCACATTGGTTAATTATGTAATATTACAGTTGTTTAATATAAATTCAACATTTTGATATAAATCAATTAGTTATATAACTACCTTTTTTGTATATTAATCAATATGAACATGAATATTCCAATTATTTCCATGCAATCCAATTTCTTACAAATCAATTAATTATATTTACCAATAATAATAAACCAAATAATTTCCCCCATACCTTCCTCCAAACCACAACTTAACCATTTCTGCTTTCAACACAATATACAATTAATAATATCTCAATTATTACAATTCCCTAGTTAAATAGAGCTTTTTTTCTTTTGTGTTTTAAAATCTTGAACTCTCCTCTTTTCCCCTAAATTTCCCATTGTTTGCACCTACCTTTTTGGTGAGGAAAAAGAAAAGAAATCTGCCTGCCTAATTTTCCAACGTGCAAAGCCAACAGCCTGCTTTACTTTCTGTTTCATTTTTCAGTATAGCTAGGGGAAAAAAAATCAGCACTCTTTGCAAGCGAGGAGCAGAGCCGTGAGCAAAACAGCTGAGAGCAAATCAGCTGAGACTTGGGAGCCGATCTAAGCAAGGGCTAATTAGCCTATGCTGAAGCTCCGCAGGCCAATAAAATTACAAAAAAACACCGAACCCTTTGTTAAATTGCTGGCTCACCCGCCCCTCGCCCACCACTATTCATTACCAATAAATAGTGGTGCGGACGGGAGGGGCAAGGGGCGGGGCGAGCCAGCAATTTAACAAAGGGTTCGGCCGAACCCCCTAGAACTGGCAGAATCCCACCACTGAAATGTGGTCTTCATGATCTGATAAGTAACATGCTGGAATTTCCTGAAATGTTCCATGCTTCCTCTAGAACAATCGGATCTAGCTTTATAACAGACAGTTCAGCATTTTCTGGAAGCAAATCTCCTGGAACAAAAATATTCCTGAGAAATGATGAATCACTCAAGAAATAGGATTTCTCATCACAGACTATTTCCTGTTTTAATAGATTCAGTTCTAGAAATGATGAACTATCAATGAAATGATCAGATTGGCATCTTTGGGAAATAAAATATAATTGTGCAAGGGCCATCATTCTGTAAATTCATAACTCAGAAGTCTGAATCTTCCTAATAACTATACAACTTTAGAGCATAGTCGTTTCTGGAAACACTATATAGTACCCCCTAGGCTTCATTTTAAAATAAATATAAATGTCTAAAATATTATAAATCTCATAGGTTTGGAGCACATTTAATTTTTTAAAAATGTTCTAGGATATGAAGCATTTTTAAATTTGTGTGTATGCAGCCCTGAGTGAAATTAGAGAAATAGTCCTGATCCACAGACATGTTTAAATGGATCAATTAGAAAGTTGGTGAACTGAGGAAAATCAAATCTAGATCTAGACAATTATCCCAAAGTGGGTAAGGCCCAATCTTCTATAGAATTAAATTTATCATATTCAATTAACCATGTTATATGGTTATAGAAACCAAGATAATTGTTGTTTTGCCTACCTAGTTCTCAAAGCTGGGGAAAAAAAAGAGTTAAAGAGCAAGATTCTCAATGCACAACTCACCCCCAGAATCAAATTTACTTCCTAGAACCCAATCACCTACAGGGCCAAAAGAATCCCTTTTCTTGTTTACTCGGACCCTAAGAAGACAGTAGTGATTTAATAAATCTCTTTGCTCAAGTGTCCATGGAAAATAGGTACTTCCTGGGAAGGCTCCATAAATGGTGATTTTTGACTAGTTAATAAGATTGTATGCTGCTAGAACCACCAATACAGTAATTTTACTGGGTCTTTGACTGACTAGATTTAAGCATGTTGGCTTACGGGACCCAGGGATGGGTTCTACTTACCTTTACTATTGGTTCAGAATGTGGCTGTGCACACTTCTGTGCATTCGCAGATGGTCATTTATGACATCAGGACGGGTGGGCGAAGCCTCCTGCCAATTTTACTACCGGTTCTATAGAACTGGACAGATTTGGGAGCAACCCACCACTGAAGGGACCTGCCCTACCATTAATAGAGTTAGGTAGCTAGGTAGGCAGTTAGGTAACTTTAGTGGCAAATGCCGAAGTGGGGAAGCAATAGGCAGAAAATGAACAAAAAACTAAAATACAAAGCTAGAAATTAAAACCAAACATTTGGCAAGTGATGTATTTTGATTGCCTTTCTAAATGAAAGGACACAGGAGGCAAGCACACCTCTTAGGGATTGCATCCTTAATCTAGCATCAATAACTGGAAACTCTGCCCAGGGAGAAATTGGCATCCCGATATATATATATTTGATTTAGGAATTGTATGATCCCCAGAGTTTGAAATTTTTAGCCTCACTGCCAACTTTTAAGCTCCACTTGTTTGGATAAGCTGTTCCTGCAACCAAAGCTATCCATTAGGGGTGGCAATGCTCCCATTTTATCTCATTTGCTGTCTTCAAATGTAACATAAGGTGCAATTGCCTGTGAATTGATTCACATATATGGCATTGAAAGCCACAGGCAGGGGTGAAATCCAGCAGGTTCTGACAGGTTCTGGAGAACTGGTAGCAGAAATTTTGAGTAGTTCAAAATAGAACCAGCAAATACCACCTCTGGCTGGTCCCAGAGTGGGGTGGGAATGGAGATTTTGCAATTTCCTTCCCCCAGGAGTGGGGAGGGAATGGGGATTTTGCAGTATCCTTCCCTGGAGTGGGGAAGGGATGGGGATTTTGCAGTATCCTTCCGTGGAGTGGGGTGGGAATGGATATTTTGCAATATCCTTCCCCTGCCATGTCCACCAAACCAGGCACACAGAACCAGTAGTAAAAAAACTTGGATTTCACCACTGGCCACGGGTATCTTTTCCTTTAACTGTAGAACCTTGGCTATCCTACTCTGGGATAGTATTGGATGTCATACAAAAAAAAAAAGTTATAACAGCTATTTATTTTCATAGTGATGGTGAAATTTCATTATTATTTGAATTTTCTGTCATCTTTCTTCATTATATTGTGTCTTTTCCCCATAGAATGTCACCTTTTAATTTTTAAAATATAATTTATAAATATTTTATAAATTAAATACCTGAAAAATTAAAGGCATTGGATACATCATGTATTTTCCCATTCTGTCCGTTTCTTGAATTGCAATGCTTCCAAATCACTTTGCTGTCTTCTTTTTTCAGTGATTGAGAATATGAAGAAAGCATTGCGCCTTATTCAGACTGAATTGTAAATGAGTGCTGAACTGATAATCGCAACAACAGAAAAAAGAAATGTGGACCAAGAAAAATCATTTACAAAAGTTGTTCAGTTCTAGTGTCCCTCTTCGAATGTCATCTACTAATGTTGCAAGCTCATTTCACATCTGCTGAAAAAAATACTAGTGGCTGTAATAATAGAATTCAGTGACAAGAAAGATTTGATGTTCATCAGGATACTTCTCTCCTTCACAGCTTTGAAGAAGAAATACCCCAGGGTATTTTCCTATGCTACTGAAGAATCTGTTTTATGAAGGAAATATGTTGTATTGCCTTTCTAAATATACTGCTCAAAAAAATAAAGGGAACACAAGCAGAAGACATCCGAGATCTGAATGAATGAAATAGCCTTCTTAAATACTTTGTTCTTTACATACAGTAGTTTATATACACTGTTCAAACAACTAAAGGGAACACAAAACTACTGTATGTAACGAACAAAGTATTTAATAAGGTTATTTCATTCATTCAGATCTTGGATGTCTCCTGCTTGTGTTCCCTTTATTTTTTTTGAGCAGTGTATATGTATCAGTTTATATTGCATTAATGAAGGCTATTACAAACCTCAGAAAACAAGTTCTTTTTGTATATACTGTTACTAGAGATAGAGATACTTCTGTTCCATATATCTTCTGAATTCACAGTCCCCTGATACTTTCAATTTATAGAAGTCCAAATGAAAAAGTAGTTCCTTGTGAGTCAATATGATATAGCAATTAGGGGGTTGAATTGAGACTCGAAAAACCTGGGATCAAATCCCCATTTAACCGTAGAGTTTATTGAGGCTAGACTTGGGCTATATTGCTCAGCCCTACTTATGTCACTAGGACCTTGTGAGCATGATGTGAGGAGTGATCACATTTGTGATGCCTTAGCTTCCTTAGGGAAATGTGTCTGTGTAGAACAGCAATGTTGTTAGTTGGAACTCTCAGCTGTGAACTGCTGTGTAGAAAAATGCTTATAGGATAGAAAGGAAAATCGTCATTTGCTAGAATACAAGAACAAATTGGTTCTTCAGAAATGAATCTCATCAGATTTCATGGGAAGGACTAATTAATAAGTGACTTACATTTAAAGTTCTGAATATGTTGCAAATAACTGATTGAGCTGCACAAAATACTTGCAGTGTTTTGTAGTTTCAAAAAAGAAATAATAAAAAAACCCTGCAGTCAACTTCTTTGTGTGCTTCTTTTGTATCTCATATTTTCAAATTCTTTACAGGGCTCTTTCGTATATGAATACAATATTGCAAATGGCAGATGCACAATAGAAAAAGAGATGTTCCCAGCCTTCTATTCCCAGCCATGGAAATAATTTTTGTATCCCAGCAACTGGCATCAAGAGGTACACTATTTCTGTTGCTGGTAATAATATATGGCTATTCCTATCAGTCATGATTAAGACTTACATATGGGCCTAAAACTGCATTAGTCACCATGTAGGTTGGATGGCTTTGGCAGGACTGGGTTAGAGGAATTTTGACACACACACACACGAGTTTCTTGGCAGCTTTTTTTTTTATTAAAAAGTTTTACAAGACAAAAAACATTTTTACAAATTTCCCCCCCCCCTCTCCCTCTACCCCTCCCCCTTCCCCCTACCACCCCCGTCCCCCCGAACTTCCCAGAGCAAAATACAGGGCATAGCATTTATCAATCATAAGCTAAACTAAACTAACAATCTATAAGTTCCCGCACCTCCCCTAGAACCTTGACTCCCCTTGTACAATATGGATACATTTCTGACATTCTAGTCAATCATAAGCTATTTGGTATTTCCTAGTCTGATATTTATTTTGAATATGATCAATCCATCTTCTCCACTCCAGTATATATCTTTCTTGTGTATTATCCTTCAAGTACGCCGAAATTTTCACCATCTCTGCAAAATTTGCCACTTTTAATGTCCATTCTTCAATAGTAGGTAAACATTTCTTCTTCCAATATTGTGCTACCAAAAGCCTAGCTGCTGTTATCAAGTTTAAAATCAATTTAGTCTCTAGAGCTGTACAATCTGTAATTATGCCCAGCAAAAACAATTGTGGAGTAAATTTTAACCTTTTTTCCATAATATTTTGCATAATCCACCAAATATTTATCCAAAATGCCTTAACTTTTTTACAAGTCCACCAGATATGAAAATACATTGCATCCTCCGACTCACATCTCCAACATTGAGCTTGCATATCTGGGTACATACTCGCTAGTTTTTTTGGGTCTAAATGCCATCTATAAAACATTTTGTAAAAATTTTCTCTTAAGTTTTGTGCTTGTGTAAATTTAACATTTCTAACCCATATTTTTTCCCAAGTTTCCAACATTATAGGTTCCTGAATATTCTGTGCCCATTTAATCATACAATTTTTAACCAATTCCGTTTCCGAATCTATTTCTATCAAAACGTTATATAACCTTTTAATATGCGAGTGCCCTTGGTCTCTGATTTGTTTTACCAAGTTTTCTTCATTTTGCATGATACCAATTTTCTGATCTTCCTTCCATCTAGCTTGCAGTTGCCCATACTGAAACCATGTAAAGGTTCTCCCTTTTTCTCTCAATATATTTAATGATTTCAATTGTAATTTTCCCCTCTCCATAAAAAGAAGTTCTTTATAAGTAATCACCTCTTGTTTTTGTTCTATACTTATATTCTCTATCGCGTGTCTAGGAATTGCCCCTACAGGTATTTTATAATTCAACTTATACTGATACTTTTTCCAGACACACAACAAAGCATTTCTAAGTATATGACTTTTGAATGTCTTGTCCACTTTCTTATCATATAATAAATAAGCATGCCATCCGTATAACAAGTCATATCCTTCTATATTCAGTATTCTTTCTTCACTTAAATTAAACCAATCACTAATTGTTGAAAGGACAACTGCGTCTTAGTATAATCTTAAATTAGGCAATTTAAGACCCCCTCTTTCACGTATATCCTGTATTACTTTTAACTTTACCCTGGGTCTTTTACCCGCCCATACAAAATTATTAATACCTTTCTGCCATTCCTTGAAATTTGCATCTTTTTTAAGTATTGGTATCATTTGAAACAAAAATAAAAATCTTGGCAAAACATTCATCTTTAGTGCTGCTATTCTTCCCAATAAAGATAATTGTAACTTTTTCCAATTTTCCATTTCTTTCTGTACTTTATGCCATAACACTTCATAATTATTTTTATATAGTTTCACATTTGTGGCTGTAATAAACACTCCCAAATATCTCACCTTTTTTACTATTTCAAAGCCCATTATTCTTTCTAACTCTTCTTTTTGCTGTATAGTCATATTTTTTGTTATTATCTTTGTCTTTTGTTGATTTACTTTAAATCCTAATACTTTTCCATATTGATCAAGTATATCCCTCAGATATATCACCGAATATGTTGGTTGTGATAGAGTAACAACCAGGTCATCTGCAAATGCTCTTAATCTGTAATCTTGCTGTCTTATTTTAATTCCCTTGATTTCACTTGAACTACGTATTTTATTCAATAATAGTTCTAAAGTTAAAATAAACAATAGTGGAGATAATGGACACCCCTGCCATGTCCCTTTTTCAATTTTAAAAATTTCTGTTAAACTACCATTAACTATTATTTGGGCTGTTTGTTGTTGATATATTGCTTTAATTGATTGTGTAAAATATTCCCCAAATTGTATCCTTTCTATTACTTTAAGTAGAAATTTCCAATTCAATTGATCAAATGCTTTCTCAGCATCCAAGAAAAAAAGTGCTGCAGGGACCTGGTTGTTTCTCTCCAGATATTCCAATAAGTCAACAATTTGTCTAACGTTGCATCTCATTTGTCTCCCTTTTATAAATCCTGACTGGTCATTATGAATCATTTGCTGCATAACTATCATCAATCTATTTGCTAATATTTTAGCAAAAATCTTATAGTCAATGTTTAAAAGCGATATTGGCCTATAATTTTCTGGTTTGTTACAATTTTGATCTTCCTTTGGTATCAATTAAATAAAAGCTGTTCTCCATGAAGGAGGCACTTCCCCTCCAGACAAAATTTTATTAAATAAATCCCTAAATGGTTCCACCATTTCTGCTTGTAAATTTGTATAATAAACAGCTGTCAAACCATCTGTCCCTGGGGCTTTACCCGTTTTTAACTCTTTGATTACTGAAGAAATTTCCTCAGAAGTTATAAATTGATTCAATCCTTCCTGTTGCTCCAATGTAAGTGCAACAATATTCTGCTCCTGTATATATCTCTCTATATCTATATCCTGAATTGAGTCACTAGTATATAACTTTGTATAAAACTCTAAGAAAGCTTTCTTAATCAAATTCTGTTGATATACATCTTTACCTCTATATTCAATCTTAGCAATTAAACGTGATTTCTGTTTTTTCCTTATTAGATAAGCCAACCATCTACCTGGCTTATTAGCATTGCAAAACGTATTATGCTTAGCATATTGTAAGTTAGTAGCCCCCTGGTCTGCTATCAACATTTTAAACTGCCCTCATAATATATTTATTGCTTCTTTTGTTCTCTTGTCTTGTGGATTTAATATAAGTAGTTGCTCTTTCTTTTTTATTTCTTCCTCTAAATCTTTCTGCTTTTTCTGCTAAGTCTGTATCTAGTATTCATATGTATTAAAATTCCCCTCATATATGCTTTACTTGCATCCCATACCATCTCCATAGATGTACCCTTATGCATATTCATAACAAAAAATTCTTTATGTCTTTTGCACTCCTTCACATTTTCTTCATATCTAAACAAATTTTTATTTAATCTCCATGATCGCCTATCTCTCTTTTCCTGATCTAATTCCACCCAAACCGGGCTATGGTCAGACGATATTCTTGAACATATCTTTGTCTTCTTTACCCTAGAAAAAAAATCATTAGTAATTAGTATAAAATCAATCCTAGAGAAGGATTGATGTCTTTCAGAGAAAAAAGTAAAATCTTTTTCTTCATTATTCCGCTCACTCCAAATCTTCCAACATATCAAAAAAAGCTTTAGGGAGTTTTGCATGACTTGAAATATTTTGAGAAAGGCTTTTCTTGTCTTTTCGAGTGTCCAATACTCCATTCCAATCTCCCATTAATATAGACGATTTATAATCCCATTGTATCATTTTGGCATGTAAGAGTTTACAAAATTTTTCTTGTTTCTTGGCAGCTTTAACATCTCTATTAAAAGTTACCAGAATTTCTGTTCAGTATGCTCACCAGGAGGAATATAGTTCCAATATTTCTGGAAGTATCACATTGAGGAAA